AGGTACAGCTGTGAGCGTCAGGAGATCATGCTATCATTTTCGTTTTCCAGAAGGAAAGAGGCAACCCATTGAGATTTGACACGCGACGATACACGGGGACGAGAGCAAAACTATCGCTTCTATACTCCGCTATCCCAGAGGGAGTGCTCTGGCAGTGAAAGTGCTTTATACCACATTTGGAGCAAGCATCAGCCCCTGATTCCAAGCTAATCTCTACTACCTACATACTGAAAATAAACATCTGGTGCCCGAGTCCCCAATCCCAAGCGCCTCAACCTTCTAAAGGAAAACGTGCTCCGTTTTCTACTCACTTCTCACCACTTTGCGGTACCCTGCGCAGCTATCCCAGAAATCTCCCTACTTTGGAAAGGCAGTTACGAGCCCTTGTCCGAATCTTCTTTCGTCCAACTTCTAAGTCTTTGAAAAACTGAAAAAAACGGCAAAAAAATTCCTTTCCAAAGTAGGTGGTCCGAAATTGTCTACCGATTCCCCGAGGGCATCCCCAGCCGCGTATTGCTTTGCGTCGATGTGTTGCTGACTGAAGTCGTGGCACTGTAATTAATGCAATAATCAATAAGCCTTCCCCCGGGGCCGGCAGCGAACGCTTCCCCGCTCCTCCCCTCTCTGCTTCCAGAGCTTCGGGAGGGCCGTGCGCTGGGCGGGTGTCAAGGCTGCCAATCAAAAGTGTACCAGCCCAGCGAGCAGAAAGCGGAAAAGGCCGCTGGGCTGGTACACTCTGGGGCTGGAGGCGGGTAGCCGATGGAGCGGGGAGGAAGGGCTGGGACTACAAGGGCATTTCGTCTTGCTGGTGTTGAGGGAGGGCGGGAGTCACGGCAAACAAAAGGAAAATGCCTTCATGGCAAGAGCAGTGATAGAAGCCTCCGGGTATTACTGCCTTAAAGAAACCTAGAGCAAATTCGGTTAACCAGGACAGCTCAATGTAATAGAAAGGGAAGAACGAGAATGCCTAGAGCAGCGTTTCTCAGCCTCAGCGACTTCAAGATGTGTGGGCTTCAACTTCCAGAATTCCCCAGCCGGTATGTTGGCTGGGGAGTTCTGGGAGTTGAAGTCCACACATCTTAAAGTTGCCAAGTTTGACAAACACTGGCCTAGAGGATACAGTGGAATTAGTGCCGACATGATTGGCCTCACTGAAGTCAATGTGAGCTAAGATTTTGAAAGGAAATGGAATGGGCCACATGAAATAATGAAGGAATTACTTCTGTTGCTGTTTCTGCCATATTGCTAGTAAAAGGGGGAAAGGAAAGCCCCAAGTACAAGGGCAGGCATGGGATCAAGACAATTGCCCCCAGCCATCATAAAATAAGTAGGAATCACTGGATTATGTGCTTGAGTAAACAGCCACTGGGTTTTGTAAATGTTGCAGAGTGTAGAAGATGGACCAGAACAGGCCCTTTTAAAATAAAACTGATGAATCCGTCATATAGATCAAAATGTCTTTCTCTGTTAAAATGTGGATATTGGGAAAGTTATTAATGGTATTACATGCTTTGTTCTATAATATAAATCTATTTTTGGACATGATAATTAAGTAATCCTGGAAGTCATTTTGCAACCAATGTGTACAAGATTGAAAGCTTGCAGAATGAATGCTTTCAAAAAGTATTGTTCTCACAGGTATTCATATCTATGTCCCAATTTACTTAGCCATGAATTGGTATCTAGATTTACGGTCAGTAGCAAAACTGAGCAACTTGGAATGTGGCATTCTGGTCTTGATTGACAAGACAATACCTAATATCAAACTCATTAGGATATCTAGGAATATTCCTGATCCAAGACAATATTAGGATGTTACAATTATTCTTGGAAAAGGTACAATAAAAAGCAAGATAGGTGCCAGCCTTTCAGTACCACTTGGGCCACAAGGACAAGTGCTATCACTACAGGGGATGTTCCTTCCAATACTGTGAACAGTGTGCAGAACTTATGCTGAAGTATTTGCTCTTCAATTTCATATTTCCAAGTGGATGAAAAACAGCAAGTATTAGAGGACTAAGACTCCATGGAAGGAAAATTATGTTCTTCTATAAACTGAAGGGATTTATCCATGCCCTTGACTCTATACACTTCTTTATGAAAGGAATATAGAACTGGGGTGACAGCAACCCATATGAATTAATGTTCTCAAAAAATTTGACTGGATAGTTTCATAGGTGGCTAGTATAAAGTACTGCACTATATAAAATTTGAGCTAATGGGTTAGCAATAAAAAACAAAATTGCACCTGGAATATAATAGTACAAAGAAATGACATGATAACTATAATGCTCTTTTGGGCATTCTGATAACATAGGTTTATGGGTTTTATGCTTACCCACTGAATGAAAGATTATCCCCAGAGATTTAAAGCATATAATCTACTCTATATACTTTTCTTTAACAATTTAGGTAAGCCTTTTCACCCTTTTACAGAAAATCAGAATCTTTAATTAAAATTTATTTGCAAATGTTGTTCACTACAAAAAGAATTATGATCTGCAGTTTCTCACGCCTATCAGTGAATGGAAAATAATAATTGCATGTGCCTATGTGTGATTTTAAATGAATGAAATTCCATTTTAGCTAAACATTTAACTACTCAGTTGATATAAAAGTTAAATAGAAAAGGTCAAAGACACATCCATGTTTAACTTTTTTCGTAACAGTGGGCATGACTTCTGACAAATGACCTGTTGGTACATCTTAATTTAAAACAGCATTCTTATTGAGTTTGTATCTAGGGATCTGATGGAAGGCTTAAATTTGATAAAAATTGCATATAGAGCAGACTTTGGCTTTAGCTGCATTTCCTAACTAGATAACTTAATTGATCAAATGTATTATGTCGGACTCTGAAGCTGGTTTATTCCTCAGCTATGTTGTTTTCTAAGTCCAGCCAGTATGATGGCTTCCTGTCCAGAAGTTTGGCATAGATTTTACTGATTGTGCTTAGTAGAGTGATTGGGTGGCAGGATGTCTCTGTTGCCTTTCTTAAACATAGGAATAATTATTGCTGGAGGAGGGAACTTTCCTATAACACAAAAACAATTCTGATCCTTCATATCTTTATTGAACACACTCATTCAACATTCAA